TCAAAAGAGACACAAAGTCGGGGACTTTGATGTTATCACAGGCTGAGTACATCAACAAAGTACTCTCCAGGTTCAACATGCAAGATTCTAAACCCAGTAAGTACACCTTTAGTTGTTCATTTTAGACTCTCCAAAGAACAGTCACCAAAGACGGAGGAAGAACGTGCACACATGGTAAAGGTGTCGTATGCCTCAGCAATTGGAAGTCTGATGTATGCCATGGTATGTACCAGACCAGATATTGCTCATGCAGTGGGAGATGTTAGCAGGTACATGAATAATCCGGGCAAGGTACACTGGGAAGCAGTCAAATGGATCCTCAAATATCTGCGAGATACCACAAACAAAGCACTTTGTTTCAAAGGTGGAGATACGATATTGGCAGGCTATGTAGATGCTGACTTAGCCGAAAATATTGACATCAGAATGAACACTACAGGGTATGTCTATTCTCTAGGAGGAACTGCAGTGAGTTGGGTTTCTCAACTACAGAAGATAGTTGCTCTCTCCACAACTGAAGCAGAATATGTCGTTGTTACGGAAGCTAGCAAGGAGATGGTTTGGCTCCAAAGTTTCTTGGAAGAGTTAGGCAAGAAACAAGAAAACAATGTCTTATATTGCGACAGTCAAAGTGCTATCCATCTAGCAAAGAATCCGTCTTTTCATTTCAGGACGAAGCACATACAATTGAGATATCATTTTATCCGATCTCTTCTGGAAGATGGGATTTTGAAACTTGAAAAGATTAGTGGAGCTCAAAATCTGGCAGACATGTTGACAAGACGGTGACTACGGACAAACTGAAGTTGTGTTCAACTTCAGTTGGCATGCTAGAATAACAAGACCAGAAATACTGCTGCATTGATCGAGGTGTGAAGACAGATTAAAATCAGTCTTCAAGTGGGAGATTGTTAAAAGTTAGTTCAAAGTTTGGCAACCAACTTTGAAAAATGTTTTTCAAAGTTTGGTAAATGTTTCTTTGAAAAAATGTTTTTCAAAGTTTGGTAGATGTTTGTTGAAAATAGGAATGGGTAAATTCACTTTAGTCATTGCACTTTAGGGTATTTTCAAATATTAGTCTCTAAGTTTCAACTATAAATACCCTAGCTCATTTAGCTTCAAAATCATCCCAAAATCCCAAAAATCATTTATTTCTACCAATACTAGAGAGTTTTCTTGTGAGTTGTGAGTGTTTTGTAAACACCTGTAAATTTTCTCTCTTAGTAAAAAATATGCAGCAGTCCGGAGACGTAAGCACAATTGGCTGAACTCCGTTATCAATTTCAGGTATTATTTTTTCGCTTTTATTTCGCATTCTCACTAATCTAGTTATAGGAAAATTACTCGTACTCGGTTTATTTCCCAACAGTTACAATACAATATTTATATACAAACTAATGAAAGTAATTATTCTGCTAACTAATTGCTAACTAAATGTCAACAGACTGTAACAAACTAACTGAATGAACTAAACTATTTCTTAACACTATGATAATAGCTTAAGTTTTTTCTGCCTCCTGTGTTTGCAAAAAAAAATGCTACATAAACTTTCTTCTATCTCAAATTTATGTGTTAATTTTTGAAAATTTCTTAAACCGATATTTAATTTTAATGTGATATTTCGATAAATAATCAAATTATGAGATATGATATTTAATGGTGTCAAGATTTTAATCACGTATGTAATCTAATTGGTTGTTGAAGTGATATGTCATGACGGGGCTAATTTGAGAATTTGGAAAAAATCCAGAACCACTTTGAAATTTTTACCAACTTCAAGTACCAATTCGTAGAATAAGCAAAACCCAAAACCGAGTCACCCAGTTCAGCCAAATGATCAGTCATCACCCAAATTTTCAAACCTCTAGAACTAGTTTGAATCTTTGGTCATTGAAAACGATGCGGATGCCCACACCAATCATTTACACTTCCAATATATAACAAAAAGATATATAATAAAATATAATCACACTGAAAACTATGAGAAGTCATATGATCATGCATTCCTGCTATCCTCATATTCCGATGTTTTTTTGATGTCAAATGACATAAAATTATGTTTTAAGAGTTTATTTTGATGTTTAAATAACAGAAAATTTATTTTTATACATTTTATTAAGTGATTAGTTATATTTTTAGACATTATTATAGGAAGATGTTTGAAGTTGTGTTTTCTTAAATGGATTTTGGAGAACAAGTCGAAAGATAAAATATGATCTTAAGATTATGTAAGGTATAAAATATTTAGTGTAAGTATTACACGATGATTCGAATAAGAATTTAATAATAATACAACTTCAATTTAACTCAAACTAGAGATCTTATTTAAACGATATCAAGTTGTTTATCACTTTTATCAATTCATATTGATATTAAAGATAATTTTTAATTGAAATGATTAATGTGTTAATTATTTAAATTAAATGTACGATATTATAAAAATAAATAATTAAATTGTTTTGAATTAAAATAGATTGAGTGGACTGATTGAGAATTAAAGTATTTGAAATTAATGGTTTCATCTAATTAATATGGTAACTAAGAGGGAAAAAAGGGTAAAGAAACGAGTGACTGATAGCTTTAAGACGCCTCCGTCAAAGACTGAAAATTTGGAGAGATTTTACGAGACAAACTCCATCAGAATTGGCATTCAACGGTAAAAGATGTAAAACGCACGTGCGGTGGACTTGGGTACTCACCTCTCATCACTTGGTACTTTAACCCCCCTAAAATCCAGCATACAATGATTATTCTACATAATTATTAATAAAACATTAACAGTATCGGTGGCCCAATGTCAAATCTAAATCGACAAAATTCCCATGAATCGGTTGACCGAGAATTTGATCGGTTCTGTAAAATGATGTGTTGCAGCTATGTCGGTCACGAACCACCGTGTTACCACCCGCAGTCAAACCGAGACCGAAATGCTCGAGCAACGCAGCCGCCGTCTCTTGTTTAGCACAGTCATTAGCTCTGCCATTACTATCGACGAGTTCACCGCCGCCGACATTAGGTAAGTCGGACTGCTTCGGTTCTCTCTTCACTTGAACCTTTTTTCCCCTACTTGCTGCTCTCTCCAATTCAACCCTATAATGCAACGAACTCAACTCATCCTCCTCCTTGTGAAATGTGATTCGATCACCGACGTTCAAGCCGTTTCCAAGAACGAACCGCCTCCAACCCTTGGAGAGAACCGGTTTCTTATATCGTCCTTGCCTACGAACGGTGCACACAAGCGGCCACTCGACGGTCTCATACGTGACTAGCAATTCCACTGCATGGCCGCCATTGAACTCGGGAAAGGAGCTTAAAACCCTACTTGGGATGGACAATCTTTTGAGACGATCGGTTTCAGTTAGGTATTTTGAGAAGATCTTCATTCTTAAAAAGAAAGAAAAAGAATCAGAGTGGGTTTTGGTAAATATAACTTTGTTGGTGAGACTAATCCCTTCAGTTCAGTTATTATATACATATGTGTGGGTGACTTAAGTGATATAAATTGAGTTCACTAAGGAAACAAGTTGGGGGAACCCAACGCTATCGCACGATTGTGTGGAATGAGCAATGGGTTTTGTTAGCTACTCGAACGCTTATCGCACGATTCTCTCTGACGTGGCATTAGGCATGCTGTGTCGCACAAAATGTTGTCAACTGCTATCGCAAATGATATTTTTTTAACTTAAGAAATTAAAATAAATTAATTTTATTTATGATTTATTTTAGTCAATAGAAGCAAGTTGGACAATGTTCGAGGGTCAAGATAATCAAAATATATAGGACTCAAAGTGATGCTGATGCAACCGACATGAGCAAGCGTACTTTGAACGACATTAAAATCACCCTCTGCCGAATGTAGGGTCTATTTTTTCCTACTTCTAGAACTCGAGGGAAAAAAGAAACTCTTTCCAGAACATCCATCCATTCCAGGCCACGTCTCTGCTTATTTCTGCTTGCCTCGATTTAACGGTTCGTCAATGAACAGTGAACGGCGTCATATGTTAACAAATCCAATTTGTTCACGCAAACTCTGGGAAGACAATTACCTTCCTAACCATGATTTATTCCACATTCCACCACAGCTTACAGTTTTCTTTGTCAACATATTTAAACTAATTTCATATGAGAAAGTCTAAAATATTCACACAGACTAATACACAGAGAAAATATTAAGAGAGATTAATTTACTTTATAATAAGAAAAATAAAAATCTATTAGATATTTAGATTTAAAAATTAATAAAATAAAATTTTTCTTCAAGACTCCAAATACTATTGTACCCAAAAGAAAATATAAGGGAGAAGAGACTCTTTTTGTGAATTGAACTGCTGCAATGCTTGGAATTTTGTGTCGCAATTTTTGAGCAACAGCCACTCTCACAGTCTGCAGGACCCGTGATTCGAACTTTCACTATTGGCTCATCCAAACCCAACTAATTCAAGATATGATTTATAGATTCTTAGTTATAAGTTGAGATTCATATAAAAATAAGTCCATCAACCATTAAAATAACGTTGTACATTCACCAAGGATATATGTGTTCTCATCCATGTACTTGAGGTTTTGATCAGAAGAAACCAAAACAATTGACAAAAATGGATACGAAAACACCATCTCACATCCATCCGGTTCAATTGACATCTATATCAGCTCTTTAAAAAGATTCTTTAATTATACATTGGCCATTGGCCATTGGCCATTGGGCTTCGGCCGCTTGTTTAGACAAAGGCAAGGCAGAAACGTGATGAATTTCTTTAATTATACATTGCACAAATACAATTACAAAACACCCTCAGGATATATATTACACATGAACTCCCACAACTTTTACAAAAAAACAAAACAGCCATGCTTTCGCTCCATATTACGACCAACGTTTACCTTTGCGTTCCAACTTTACAAAGATAGAACATGTAAAATAACAAAATAAAACAAACACTTCAAGAGATCAATCGATATTTTTAAAAAGAAAAATTATAATTATAATTATAATTATAATTAAAAGATACATTTCATGATGCATAAAGAGGATTCTGAAGAGTAGTATGCGACCCTTTCTTCTTGAAAATCCAATCACCCACCAGAGGAACAATGGGCTTCTTCTTCATCAACTTCCTCTCTCTTTTCCCCGCAAAATACCCTTCTTTTTCCCCTATACTCAGTATCTGAGACAACGTCGGGTTATTCTCCATTCGTTTCATCAACTCCTTTCTTTTCGCTTCTTCCCTCGCTATATCTTCTCCCTTCCCCATCTCCAAACTCACCGTCCTCGGCATCGGCGTAGTCTCCGCCGCCTTTTTAGCTGCAGCAGCCTCGGCTATAGCCAACTTCGACATGTTCTTATGGAGTTCAGCGTTCAATGAAGCCAACGCAATCTCTGTTTCGGATTCCCTTTCCTTCAGAAGCTTCAGCTCCGCCTTTGTTTCCTCAAGTTCGGTCTCGAGCTTCTTCAAGGTATCGAGAACCTCTCGGTGATGGGTATTATTCTCTCGTTGATCATCTTTACGGCTTAGAGGAGTACCGGGTGAAAACCAGGTGATCTCTTGGCTTGGAGGGCGGCTGTAAGTGTAAGGCTTCGGAGTGTATATCTCTCCGACGAGAAGCCGCTCGCCGAAAACGGCAACAGCTTCTTTGACGGTGCGAAAAGGACGGGAAGTGTCGACGTTGGAGCGATAGTCTTTTGGTGGTTTTGTAGCCGGAACTTGGACTTGGGTTTCCATGGAAGAAGCTGGAGATGAAATGAGAAGAATTGTATGTGTTTTCGCGTGTAGATTATGGAGAAGGAGAGGATGTATTTGATAATGAGTCTGAGATTTCTTTGCTTTTACTGCAAAAGGTTACAGAGAGAGAGATTTGTTGTTTGAAGGTTAAGCCTTGGAGGTAGTGGAAGTGGACTGCTTAACTACTGGGTCAATGAATGAAGGGGTATAATTCTGATTTTAGTTTCCATAATTTTGTCTTTTAATTTTATACTAGTACATTGAATTATTAATATCTTAAAAATATTAATAATTTTAATTTTTTATTGACTTATCAAATTCTTTTATTAAAAAATAAAATATATAAAATTAAAATGAATGCTTATAATTATAAATGTAAACTAAACACTTAATTATGATATTTTCTTATGATTACAAAAAAATAGTCACTTAAAATTACATAATGAGCATACAATAAAAATGTTAAAAACCTAATAAAAAATTCAAACAATATATATATATATATATATATGAACAAAATGAGATAAAACTACTGAAATACTAATAAATAACCATAAATCAGAGTCGAGCAATGTGAAAAAATAATCAACGAACACAAATTACGTATCTAAATCCAATTTAATAGTCTAAAACAGATAAGATCATCATAATAACAAATAAGTATCATCTTAATTAGTCACGATGATGTTAATTTCAAAAATGAAAAAAAAGATAAACTAAAACAGCGAACGAAACGTATCATAAAAACAGAAGAAAAAAAACATACCATAAAGATATAAAACAAAATCTCATAAAAATAAGATTATTAAAAACTAAAAAAAGAAAAAATGTGATATGAAAAAAAACAAGAAATATTAATAACGATAACAAACACAAATATTAATGCTACCGCATGTTAACCAAAATACAAAAATAATAAAAGACTTTAAAATTTTTGTGAGGTAAACTGGTAGAGTTTATAAAATATAAACAAAAATTAGGTTAAAATTTTCAATAAAAATATTTACGAGTGTTATAATTTAAGCCTAGTCGAATGAAGTGTTACATAATTGAAATAATCATAAAAATTTAAATTATAATATTATAAATGATATAAATTAAGTTATAATAATCATTTTATTAAATTAGACTGAATTAATAAATTAATTAGATATCATTTATATTAAAAACATCAAGATAATAAATCTTCAATTTTGACATGATAGAGGGACTAAAATCATAATTAAACCTTATAATGGCATTACATGCGGAATATCTGAGAGACAATTATAGAGCTTTCCTAATCAAACAGCAGCTTAATTTTAGGTGCTTGTAACTTTTGTAATTATAACTTCGTAATCATTGTTTGTGTCACATCCTGGAACAAGACAACACAACGCGAAACTCGGAATTTAATACAAGAGTGAAATTCATTGTTGTCTGTTTGAGAACAACTGGATTGATTTAAGTAAGCATAATGAAATGTAAAATTATCCGTACGAATAAGATTATTGAGAATATTATATTTTGTGTTTGGTTGATTTAGTAAGAATGTAATATTATCGTATTTGATTAAAGGAATAAAAGATTATTAGAATATATATTTGACCAAATTATTCTTATTATATATTTATTTTTTAACAAGTTGAAAAATATTTTTATATTTTATTTAAAAAATTTAAATTTATATAATTTTTTTACAAAATTAAAAATATTAAAAGATTTAATAAAAGGGTAAAATTTTATTTTAACCCCTGAACTTCATATAAAAGTTTAATTATATATATATTTTTTAAATCTAAAATAGTTTAAGGATAAATTTGTAATTTAACATTCGTAGAATTTTTATTATTCAATGACATAATAAGGATATTTTTGAAAAAAAGTAAGGGCATTTTAGTCCAAACACCGGTAATCCAACAATACATAAGGGAAGGGGTAATGATATTCCCGGTAATATACCCCAAAAAATTCACTATTAATAATAAAACATTACCGAGAATGAGATTCCCGACCAACCAAACGAGGAAATACAAGTGTTTGATATACATTAGAAAATTACTTGAAATTATGGTACCGATTAGTTGGATAAGGGATGAATGATGTGAAGTGAATTGGGCACTCCTCTCTTATAAGTTTTATATATTTTAAACATTTTATTCATATCTTTTATTATAAATTCATTTTTATTTTTTAAAATTTATAAGTTTATCATTCTTTAAAATTTTATAAATTTATTCCATTAACATAAAATAACATGTTCGTCGTCAATTTTGATCATCTAATCAAATTGAATCGGAGACAAAAAAAAGTATTACATGACAAATAAATCATTTGGAGAATATAGTAGAAAATTATGAAGATTCATAAATTTATTGGTTAAAGGGATGATTGTTATCCTTAGAGATCTTATATCCGAGTATTAAAGACTATAAGACCCCGTTTGATTCACATCATATTTCATTCCTGGAGGGTATGTTTTTTCTTGGGTAATGATACCCATATTTGGATGAGCTTCATTCCCAAGTGCAGGAAAAGAAGAAATACCAACAGTGGTATTTTTTTCCCGTTTTCCCGGGAATATCAATTCCCATTCTCTCTTAGGTATTTACTTATTCTCGGTTCTCATGTATAAAATACCCTTCTCCCCGCTTGGTTCTGGTTGAAAGAAAATATGTTTCTTCTTTGATTTGGCGTTCAGATTTGCTTTTAGCGTATTAGTCTCCCTCTCCCTTTTAGGTATTTGCTTATGGCGTTGATATTTCAATTTGTTTCATTGTTCAATTTTTATGGGTTTTTCACTCATGTTTATGTATTTTTTTCTACTACTACACTGATCTGCCCATTATTTTTCTAATTTTTATGGGTTCGTGGGACTAATTGAGATGCACCATTTTTCAATTCACCCATATTTGAGCTCACTTGAGTTGTAGCAGTTAAACCCATTCAAAATCTAAGGAGTTATCCATCTTTCATTGAAAAACCAGGTATATTTTCATAGATGTGAACTTTTTCTTCTTCGTTTATGAAACTGATGCCATCTCTAATTCTTTCGTTCTCTTGAGTCTTGACCTCTAGTTGGCTATATATGTTTCCCAACAATTTCAAATCTGTTACCTTTTTAATAGGATCCAACTGTTCAGACCTGTACATATCTATTAAGGCACATCTTTATTTGACAAGATCATTGCATTTCAACTTTCAAAAGGCACTCAAAGAATTGTACACTTTTTGAAAGTATTTTCTCTCTTTTGATTTTCCTTCACCTCTATTTTTGCTTTTCCTTTTTGTGCTAATGCATAAGATTTCTCTTGTCATGTTTTAGGGCTTACAAACTTGAAAAGCTTACAAATATCCTGCAGTAAGGTCACAGATTTCGGCATCACCTGTTTAAAAGGTACCTTGCCAATACTTTCTATCTCACTTGCTATCATTTCCATAAAAAAAATAAGTTGCTATCATGACTTAGTATGAAAAAGAATTTTTCATCTAAGATTGCTAGTTTGTTGTTGTTGGATTATTGTGCCTGCGAGAGGATTTTATTATTGTACTGCATGGTGTGGAATGTTATGGTGAAGTTATCATTCAACTAAGAATATACATCATGCCAACAAACCTTGGCCCCTTAAGTTGTTCAAAGAAGTCAAAATTTTTAAACCTTTTAAGTATGTAGGTTGAATGATACAGAATAAACGTCTTTCTTTTTTTTCTTTAAAAAACTTCCTATTATTACTTTGGGAATCATTGATTTATTTTATATTTAATCTTGTTTATTTTGATGTAATCTGTGATACATTGAAATTTTGTTCTATGACAACTGTATTTGTACTAACATTTTATACTTTCAATGTTCTTCACCATAATTTTGGTGGTGGTGTCATTGACCTGTGTATATTATATGCCTGTTCAATTTAATAGTTAACACTCGACCATTTTCTACTTATTATCAGGTTATAGGAATCATGGAATTGGTTGTTACTGATTATTAAACTTCTATTCCTTGAAATTATTTATACTTTCAAATCTGTTTCAGGCCTGCAAAAGCTTTATATTTTGAACTTGGAGGGCTGCCCGGTTACTGCTTCATGCCTGGATTCTTTTTCTGGTATATATTCTTGGCATGTATATTGCAATCGTTTTCCTCTTAAACTGATTGCATCAGGAGCTGCTGACTGCAATTTTGCTTTTGCATTAAAAGTTGATATTTCATTTAAATAATCTTTGTGCTTTTCTTTTCCAATTTTAATATTTTCCTGCTGATGACAGAAACTTGTGCATTTTCAATTTAGAAACTAGTTTTTGTAATCTCCTGACGGTCTTCCTTCTTTCAACATACATCATGTCATTCTGAGGAAATATTCAAAATGATTGATTGACCATAGAAACTCTACTTGCATCTTCTTTTGATTACTTTGTCTTCTACATTAAACATGATATTGACTTGGCCTTTTTACTTTGCACAGTTCTTGTATCTCTGTTATATTTGAATCTTAGCAGGTGCAATTTCTCTGATGATGGATGTGAGAGGTTTTCTAGTAAGTTGGCTTCATGCTTTCCCCATTACGCATATGTAAAAATTCTTAGATGGCGTTTGGCTTATTGCATTTTTTTGTTTTGACAGAGCTAGGTAATCTGAAGATATTAAACTTGGGTTTCAATGACATCAGTGATTCGAGTTTGATACATCTGAAAGGTGTTCTCCCTCTTCCCTTGTGTTGTTTGGTAGAATATTGATCTATATAATGTATTTGCTTCATATATGCGTGTTCCTTATTTTGGAGGACTGATAATGAAGTGAATATAATGGAATAAAAATTATTTATCTAAATAATGAGTGGTTATTCTTTGCAAAACATATAATAGGATCTCGTGATATGGTTTTCTTTATGAAATTTGTTCCATGTTTTTAGTGGTGGTTGCCATCCATAATTTGATTTTTTTTGCTTGGATCCAGGTTTGACAAATTTAGAGAGCTTGAACTTGGATTCATGTAGAATTGGTGATTATGGGCTGGTTCATTTGTCAGGTTGTTGGTCTAACTGCTACCATCTTTCTTTGTTTATATATTTGTTCATTTTGAAATAGAAATAATTAATTTAATTTAAATGTTTCTACCTACGTTATTTTTCTTCTGTTGTGGGAGGATTGTCATCTTCATTAAACCATCCTATTACCTCAACTCATAATAATTCTCCGCTATCTTATAAAAAAATAGACGACAGTGGCTGAAAACAACCGCTTTCATTTGTTTAGGTCTTCAACGATTGAAATGTTTGGAGTTGTCTGATACTGAAGTTGGAAGCAATGGCCTTCGCCATCTTTCAGGTTAGATATCCTCCTTTCTCATAGTATGACATTCTCTATATTTTGCAGTTGTTGTTACTTTCTGTTTCTAGTTTTGGTGGTAAAGTGCTTCTTTAACTCTTTTGTTGCATATAATTATTTTCTTGATTTGATTCTCTGTTATCGCTACCCTGATTTGCTATCCTTCTTTGAAGACTTCTCAAAACTCAGATGATTCTACATGGAAATTTTTTGAAAACAATTGAAGGCACCTATGTTAGACATATACCTGGATCTGGCATTCTCATATGAGTCTGCATAACAACATTGTTCATTTAGTAGTATGAGGAGCTTTAATCATTGAATAAGCATATAAAACTGATATCTTCTCAAACAATTGATTCTTATATATGATCATTCGATTTCTTTTGGTTTACTTGTAGGTTTGGTTAATCTGGAGAGCATAAACCTGTCATTTAATGGAGTTACAGATGGTGGTTTAAGAAAATTGTCTGGACTCTTGTCTCTGAAATCACTCAACCTGGATTCTCGTCAAATCACAGATGCCAGACTTGCAGCTCTTATCAGTATGACTGTTCGGAGTGCCTATTTCAGTTCTTTGAATTGTCCTTTTAGTTCTTTAACATGATTCATTGTGAAATAATAAGTTTTGTCACTTATTATACTGATGATTTAATTTTATTGTTGTCAAAGATAATAAATTAGTTCTGATTAGTCCTTAGTTTATTGTTGAGAAAGAGATTACTGAAACATTATTTTTAGTAATTATGCTTATAAATATGTTTTTTATTATTATAATAGCGATCATGCCAATCAAAGTAAATATTTTAGGTTATATAATAAGGATAATTCACAGCTTGAGAAAGAAAAAGTAAATTATTAGTTTTAAATAATTTTTAAGTAAAATAATATTTTTAACCAATCAAACAGGGCCTTTAGGTTATATAATAACAATTAAAATGATTAATTAATTATATTTTTTCAAATAAAAATTTAATTGATCAATAAATTTTCAAATATGAAATATTTTTGTTTAATACTGGCTTATAATTAGATGTAACGTGAAACAATAAATTTAAACAACTGTACTCGGTAATAATGTGCCAGAACTAAGATTGACGAATTTGAAAGTACTTCATTTGAAAGACAATTTCTTCAACAGTAGCAATATATCATCTTTTGGCAAACTTCCAAAAATAAAGCCTTTGTCTTTTTAATACTACTAATTGAACAGACGACACAGTTAAATGTTGATGTAAAATTTTAATATATTTTTATATAAATTATATAAAATTTAATATTAATTAAAATTAAAATAATACATGATATCAAGTAATATATTATCAACAAATAAAATTTTTATATAAATAATTTTTATTTAAATATTTAGAATTTCACTTGTTAAAAAATATAGAACAAGGACAATATGGTAAAATATACATTCCAGTAATCTTTTATTCCTTCAACCAAACACTGTAATCTTACATTCCTGCCAAATCAACCAAACACAGTAATGTAACATTTTCAGTAATCCTATTCCCTGGTAATCTTTTATTCTCATTGGTAATTTTACATTATGTGAACAAAACGCACCCTAAGAGAATATGAACTTTCATTGTCAAATTGTTAAGAATATTTAAAACATATATTATATTGTAATCATCTTATATTAAATAAAAAATATTAGACAATAAGGGGTGGAAACGAAATTTCCTTTACTTTTCCCTAATAAACCGAGAGAGAGGGAGGGAGTGAATAATCCTTCATCTTCCCAAGCTTTCCCATTGTTGAATGTTCAAACATTCAAATGAAGAAAGCTCAATTTCGCCCAATTTTCATAAGGAATCCAAACATAGTTCTATAACCCTTAGGTCATTGTCTATCCTTTTAGCACCTTTTATAGTAGACTCATAATAACAAGTTTAGTAAGTAAAACCCTAGACCCTAAATTAATATTTAGGATGAATAAAACATGCTAACTCATAGTATGAATTCAGATTTTTGTTGTTTATATTTGGCATTGGTTGTGTTTTTATTTTTAAGAACAATTGGAATTGGTAAAATCCTCCAAGTAACGAGAATTCGTTAATCTGAGAAATGTTATAAATTCGAATCAGGTGAGTGTAATTAAAATCAAATATGTATTTGTGTTTATTAACAAATGGAGACTATAGACGTGTCATTGTCTTATATTACTAAGATTCATTATTATTGTTAAACAAATAGGGAATTTATTGAGTGATAAAAGTGATGAAAAAGAATATTATTTTTCTTCTAAGATTCGAGTTTAAGTAACTATGTATATTACTCTGGAGTGATTGTCTATCGTTTTAGCACATTAATTTATAGTAGGCTTAATGTAAAAATAAGTGTCCAAACTATACACAAAGTTAACTTTAGGTGTTTAAAAAAATTTCGTTAAAAATAAATGATTAACTTCAAACGTTTCTTTTTTTGTAACACCCCCAACCCGTATCCCAACCCGGATACTAGTCAGAGATATTACATTGACTTTTAAAACACAACTCATTACAAATAATAGTAAAATACTTGAACTTATATTACGAAAAATACAATAATATACATATGGTAATATAAGTTTACCAAAATATTCAGAGCATACACAACTTAACTCTAAAATTACATGCCAACATCTATTTTCATAACAAAATGACCTACTGATTAAGTTGCTTCTGATCTTATAGTTGCAGGAGTAATGTTGTCCAGCTGCTTAACCTCGATCGACTTTATCGGATCCTACGTGTGAAACACTCACACGCTAAGTCATCGACTTAGTGAGGCAATATAATAATAATATCAATAAATATAAAGTAATTGTCAAAATGAGATGGGTTGCAATAATAAGATGTATGTAAACAATGCAATAACCAAAACCATGTTTCTTACACATATACTTATCACATTCACATTCATAAGTTTGCCTTAGTAAGTTCATTAGCCCATGGTACCATACAGAGAACCTAAGGTATGTGAGTATTGTGAGGTTGTGCACTATGCTGTCACTACAACTCATATAATTGCACCTAAGTGCCACGTAGAATTGCACCTAAGTGTCACGTAGAATTGCACCGGAGTGCCGCGTAGAATTGCACCGTAGTGCCATATAATAATATCCATAAGGACCACATATCATTCCTTAAGAATCATATACATATGCCAAGGATCAAGTATGTGTCTCACCAGACTCACACATGTTCCAAAGAATACATATATGTCCCGAAGGACCACATATCATTCCTTAAGAATCATATACATATACCAAGGATCAAGTATGTGTCTCACCAGACCTCACACATGTTCCAAAGAATACATATATGTCCCGAAGGACCACATAGACCCTCTACCCTTGGCATGGCAACTATACCTATAGTTCTCATTTACACAACATGGGCTTTCACAATTTATCTAATTTATATCACGTAGACATATTATTTCCATACCTTTATCATATAACTCATGTAACTTTTTCTTTCATATTCATGTCCCATAATGCATATGGTATGGATTCATGTCATATATCATCATATGAACTACGATCATGTATCAAAATATTGAATTTAGACTTATCACAAGTCTAGAACTGAATAAATTACATATTCATGCTATGCATATGCACTCACCTAGATTTCTTTGTCTTTCCCTCGATTGATCCTACTTGTCGATGGTTCCGGAACTCGATTAGGCTCAATATCTACATAAGTAAAATTTTCAAGATGATTATCAGATGCCTAAGTCTTGAAATTAACCTCTAATAGCCTACCAATTTAAGGGATTGATAGTTTAGTCTCTCTTCTTTCTTTCTTTTTTTCATTATGGGGGAATCGGTTCCCCCCTGGGGGTATCGATTCCCCTCTAGCATTCTGGAAATTCATATTCGTTTGAGGGGGGATCGATTCCCCTTGAATGGGTACCGATTCCCCTAGCCTAGAAATCCCATTTTGAGCTCGAAAATCACCTTATTTCAGCTCAAACCTTCCTATTTCACTTCCTTTAATACTCCTAACTTTAATACACATACTTAAACTTATTTCTATTCCATAATCACTTCTTTAACTCCAAATCTAGTCATTCCTATGTAATTGCAAAAATTATACTAGTTTTGCAACATGTTCAAATTTCTATTCTAACACTTCCTATCCCTTAATTAACTTGATGCCAAGTCAAATCTCACTTCCAATTCTTATTATGAACTCTAATCTAAGATTTCACTTTTCTACTTCCTTTCTTTAATTCTTCATATACTTCTCATCTTGAGGTTTTAAAACAATTTAAACTTCCTTTAAGCTTAACTATTGCCTAATGGTCATGAATCAACCATAAATTCATCAAGAAATTCACTAACAAGAGAATCTTACCTTAGCTTGGGTCTCACGTATGAAGAAGAAGAAAGAAGAAGAGGACTCTGGAAGCTTATTTTTTAATTTCCTATACTTCCACGTGGTTAATATAATACTAACCCCAATAATTATATTACTATAAAAAGACCATTTTGTCCTTCTAATCTTCATTCTTTATAATTCAATCCTACACAAAATAACTCAAATAAGTCATTGAACTTTTCCATCATTCTACTTTAAATCACCAAATACTGAAACTTTACAAATTAATCACTAACCCGGCATGGAGGATGTTACAAATCTCTCTCCCTTAAGAAAATTCATCCTCGAATTTTCAATAAGAAAAGAGATGGGGATACTGATTCCTCATATCCTCCTCACACTCCCATGTTGCTTCCTCTACTTCGTGATTCTTCCATAAAACTTTAACCAATGGGATAATCTTGTTCCTCAATTGCTTAACCTCATGAGCTAAAATTTGAATCGGTTCTTCCTTATAAGTCAAATCCGGTTATACCTCGATCTCTTCTGGGTTTACGATATGGGAGGGATCCGATCGATATCTCCGAAGCATTGAGACATGGAATACATTGTGAATCTTTTCCATTTCTGGTGGTAAAGTCAATTGGTATGCTACGGGTCCCACTCTTTTTACAATCTCATATGGTCCAATAAACCGGGGACTTAACTTTCCTTTCCGACCAAACCTCAACATATTCTTCCATGGAGATACCTTTAAAAACACTTTATCCCCAACTTCAAATTCAATCTCCTTTCTTTTAAGATCAGAATAGGACTTTTGCCGATCAGAGGCCACTTTGAGGTTATGCTGAATTTCTCAAACTTTCTGTTCTACATCTTGAATTAAATCCGGACCAAGAATACTTCGATCTTTGAGTTCATACCAATTTAATGGAGTACGACATTTTCTTCCATATAATGCTTCATATGGGGCCATCTTTATACTAGACTGATAACTATTGTTGTAAGCGAACTCTACCAGCGGTAAATACTTTTCCCATGATCCTTTGAATTCCATTACGCATGCTCTCAACATATCTTCCAATATCTGAATAGTTCTCTCTGGTTGCCCATCAGTCTGAGGATGAAAAGCCGTACTAAAGTTTAAACGAGTCCCCAACGCTCCATGCAAAGATTTCCAGAATCTAGAAGTGAATCGAGGGTCTCGATCAGAGACTATGGAAACAGGTACTCCATGCAATCTAATAACTTCTCTAATATACAACTCTGCATACTTTTCCATAGAGAA